GATCTTTTGGATACAAAAAAGGTGATGTGACTAATAGTGGGGGTGAATAAAAGAATGTCTTGTAGAAATATATTTTTCCAATTCAAAATTCTGACCGTGCCCTCTCTATATCTTGACTATATTATGTTGTATCAAACAATTGAGAGATAATCTGGAATGTAATTTCCAGAAGTACGAGTACGATACGAGAGAAAAAAATAAGTTATATATCCAAGCATGTAGGACAGCCCTTTTTGAGAATAATGTGTTAAACAAGGCAAGTAGATTATACAATAAACTGCTGGAAAGAATAAGAATTTTAGAAAATTTCAGAAGCTTTAAAATGGAGTTAAAACCACTGTTGATCTCAAATACTTTTTACTCTGTTGATGAGTGTTTAAACTCCAACCTTTATTAAAAATAGTCAAATTATGTTGGTGTTAAATCTTGCATCCACCTTTCGTGACAGTAATAATTTTATTTAAATGACATAATTCTAATTATGATGGATTAAGTACTGTAATTATGTAATTGATTGTATTTCATCATCATCATCAGTAATCTGTCAAAGACGACAGGTCCACAGTCTCTTCCAAAACAATTCCTCCACTTAATGCAATCTAGAGCTTTCTCCTTCAAATGACAGTATCCTCTTCTGTCCCCAAGGTCATCCAGCATCTTCTTACGTCTTCTTGTCACTTCTATCCGCCCATCTATCTTTCCTTCGATAACTTCTTTTAGAAGGCAGTTTCTGCGTAAAACATGACCAATCCAATTAGCCTTCCTTGTATTTATATAATCTAATTGTATTCATGTGATCAATGTGATTTGTCTTGTTTTCATTGACTATTTCTGTATCGGCTGGTGTTCCAGCTATATGAGGATCCATGGAAATAAAATTATTAATAATAATATGCTATTATGAAGGTTCATTTAAATTAGGAGGAACTTGAATGGCACAATTAAGCTTCTAGTTTTGCTGATGATTTTTTAAGCATATGAAATCACAACAAAAATAAGGGCAGAGTTTAAATATTTGAATGAAAGTAACAGATAAAGATTGTGTTAATGAAGTACATAAGAAGAGATTAATTCAGAGAATGTGTGTTGCTGTTCATGTCATACATTTTCTCCCCAAATCCTATGTAAAAAGTAGGAAGATACTGAACTATAATTTTGCTCAATGTTTTGTATAGGTAGTAAACTCAATCTCTACACATTAATGAAAGAACATACGAGGAGCGTTCTGTATATAATGCCTCCTATTTTTCCACATAATCACCACCATTCGTTACGCACTTTTGCCAGCGATGAACAAGAGCCTGTATGTTGTGCTTGTAAAAGTCTGCGCCAGCACAGGCTAGCCACTTTCTTACAGCTGCAATGACAGCATCATTGTCTGAAAAATGTTGCTCACATAGTCCATCTTTCATAGGCCCAAAGAGATGGAAGTCTGAAGGTGCTAAATTGCGGCTATAAGGTGGATGTGGTAGGACAGTCCAGCCAAACTGGTATGCGGTCTAGCGTTATTGTGTTGTAAGCGAAAGGTTGTCTGCTTCTCTGGTCTGAATCGGGAAATGCAGGCTTCCAGCTTAGTCAGCATCGTCTTGTAGCGTTCAGAATTGACAGTCTCACCAGGCTCCAGGAAATCCAAGAAAATCACACCCCGCCTATCCCAAAAGACCATGCAAATCACTTTCCCTGCCGATGACTGTGTCTTGAACTTCTGTTTTCTTGGGGAATCCAAATTTCGCCACTTCATGGACTGTCTTTTGACTTCCAGCTCGTAGTGGTGACACCACATCTCATCTCCGGTGACGATGCTGTCCAGAAACTTGTCACCTTCAGCCTCAAACTGGTGCAACAGGTCCTGACAGACTTCCATTCTATGAGTTTTGTGGTCCTGTGTAAGCATCCTTGGGACCCACCTGGAACAAACTTTGTGATAATCCAGCTTCCCCAACATCATTTCCAATGCATTACAGCCGATATTAAGCCATGCACACAGTTCCCTGATCGTTATCTGCCTATCTGTATGGATGAGCTGATCGAGGCACTGTTCATTGTGAGGACTGGCAGCTTAGCAGGGATGCCCAGCGCGTGGCTTGTCGTGCACTTCACTTTTGCCACTGCTGAAACGCACTACCCACCGCCTAACTGTGCTGACATCCACTGTATCATCTCCATACACCTCTAGCAAGCATCGATGGATGTCAATGGGTGCAATTTGATCGGCAGTGAGAAATTCAATAACACATATCTGCTTCGTACGCACTTCTATGTCAGGCGCCATTTTGGTGGACTGCTCTGCTGTCGCTATCTGTCGCAGAAGAACTAAACTTACAGTACATTGGTGGGAAGGTTCAACCTTTACTGCAACACCAAATTCCAGCTCAGACATTAGAGATTAACACAAAAAAAATAGGAGGCATTACATACAGAACGGCCTTTGTAGATCAGGGGTCTTTGACAACAGTTGCTGGGGAGAATATCTGGTCCTAGGAGGAAATAACACTGGGCTGCAGAAAATTGTATAGTGAAGGGCTTCATAAGTTTTAGTCTTTACCAAATATTATTAGTGATCAAACCAAGTATGAGATAGCAGGACATGTATCATGCATGGAAGAGATAAAGAAAGCATAGATATGTTGGGAATATTAAAAATCGGTCTGAAAGAAATAGGTTGCAAGGGTGAATAACAAAAGGACTGTAGTGTAACTGCACATCTGAGGAAGAGCTTCATAAAAGCTATTTCATCAGATGCCAGCCATGTGACTGACAATGAACTGGCATGGCAGGACAAAGCACATGCACATAAGTTTGAGGGGAATGAAATTGGATTGAACAAACTATGTCTGGTACGTTTATATGAAAACTCATGACCATTTTGACTGTTTTTATGTTTATTGAACATGCATTTTCTCTGCTTTTAAGGGAAACAAACTGCTACTTCTATGAAGACCTTGCAGCTCAAGACAGACCTAGTATATTTCCTACAAGATGTGGAAAAAATACATTTTCTGGCCTTTACTGTATGGGTTATGACCAGAGATACACTTAGGGATTACCATTTCTGTTTTGCTTTAACAGTGGTGCATGATCATTCTTTTGCATATTATAAAATATTTTACATGTGTGCAGGCAATGAAAATCCACCTGATAAAAATGCTATACTCTTAGGAAAGTTTGATACATGGCATAGGGCTAAGTGAAAAATGAAATGGAAAGATGTGGTTGTAGCCACTGGCGGTACCATCTTGGCATTTGCTTGGAGGGGCTGAGGAAAACCATGAAACACCCATCAGGACTGTCAATGTCCTGACTTACATTTGAACAAGACACCTCCAGAAGACAAGTCAGAAATGTTATGGCCTGAGTCAACTTTTCTGCAGCAGACTTGAAGTGAAGAACTTGTGCATTGGCCTGCTAAAAGGAATATGAAGTGCTGTAGGGTTTGCGCTTCCAGAAACAAAGTAAAAAGAATCCAGTATTTCTGGTGGCTGTGTACTGTGCCAAGATCAGAGTTGTGGTACACTAAAACAAGATTCTGAACATATCTCTAACTGTATCACATTATTTTGAATCCTGGTAGTAATTTTGTGCAAACCACCCACTCTATGAGTGTACATTTATGCATGTATCCCTGGCAAGGTCTCTACATGAATGATGCAAGCACAGTGACAAAAGCTGGTGTTTCTTGAGGTGGCATGTACAGTTCTTACTACAGAACAGCAATCTATGCATAAAAAGGCATGAAAATATACTGCAAACCACACATGTCCTTTTGGTTCTTAAGTTACTTGACAGAATATCTCGTGTTATAAAAATGATAGAAAATTTCACAATATTCTGCATCAAGCACCACTTTATTACATGCATCCTGCTGCAGGAGACTTACAATTTTCATATAATGTTATGTGTTAGTATAAAGTGAGAATTAAAAGGGCTGCAAGAATTCTGGCAGCTTCATAATTATGTGTTGCCATTCAGGGGAGTGTGTATCCACTATGCATTGTGGGAACAGCAACACCTGTCAACAGCAGGCATTCCACAACGGCGCAAAAATGACACATCTCAATATCATGAGACAAAGGATATAGATAATACAGAGAGTCATTGTGTTAATGCATAGAGATGTGGAGGGGACACCGTGTGCGGTCTCAGCCTTGGCATTATATGAAAGACTCCAATATTTAAACAAAGTTATGAGTTGCTGGCCTAGATATATAATCAGCAAATCATACTTCTAGGAGTCTGAACAAGAAATGTTGGTTTCTAATGGCACACTAAATGTCACTTATGCTAATAACCTCAACTGATCACCATATTTCTAACTTTCTATTTGGACACCACTTCGGAAAATTATATTATCCATTTATCCAGCATACTTAGTTGATTTGAGTGATTTTTTAGTTGTTCCCTCTCTTGTCCACCAGATATCTCTGCAGTGACATCTATGAGCACAGTGGGTGACTGAAAATGGTATCTAATTTTGCATTGACTCATCTCTTATCATGAGTGAAAAGTTCTTTTATGTGCTGTAAGATATGGGACCATCAGCTTTACTTCCCTTGGGAAGGAAGTTGTGCTACAGATTTTTATTGCCCTTAAAAATTGAGGGTCTGAACATGAACTTTGGGTCCAATGGCGAGCATGTTACCACTAGACCACTGATACAAGAATAAGAGATAAAACATTATGGAAGTCCCTACAGTTATTCAAAAGCGATTCAATTACATTCTTATGAAACCACACAGCACAAGAAGAAAATTGATACTACAATAAGCAGTGCAGACAGAAAATATTATATTTTGTAATGTAAAGACCTGCTATTATTTCAATTATATAAACAAATTCTGTAAATGGACCAGTTTCAGGCTGTGTAATTGAAAACTATCCAATTATAAGAAGCAAGTAATATCTCCTACAAGAATAAAAAAATCACTCAATGGAATTGGGTTCATAACTCTACACCTTCTGAGCTGTATACTATGATTTTCTCATAATATATGATACAGAGATAAACACTGAATCTCCTTTAATTCACACTTGTATAAACTTACAATCATGCATTCACAGCATCTGTATTACATAATCCATCACCGTTTTGCTAATGTATATGCAGCTTGCAGCACACAAAGTATACATTACTGTTACATTTTCTTCATCCATAGGCCTATATCACAATGTGTGTGTGTGTGTATACAGACACACATACACCATGTAAACACTGAAGTTTTGTCTTTTTGTGCAGCTTTACCACTATAAAGCCAACTGGCAAAAAGCAATTTTGGTACTTAATTCCAGCATAAAGAATGGAAGGAAAATAAATCAAGAATTCAACACAACCAATATTCCCAGAATGCTAAAACCTCCATGCATCCATACTTCTCACACTGCAGTTCAATTTTTCATCAATTTCTATGTTTTTACACATTATAAATGGCAAAAACAATTATCCAAGTTACAGTTCCAACAACAAGAACAATATTCTGCAACTGATAATGGAAATCAATGGAGCAATTATAATGAAGGCTAGAATGTCACTTTTTCTAATACCAGCATTTCTTCCATATGTAGATAAGAAGACTACTACATAGAATTATTTTTAAATAAAGATGAACCAAAAAAATCCCAACTAAACTGAATTAGATATACCATTATAACACGAGTTTACATACTGTCAACAAAATCCATCATGTTCTTCTTGATTATATATAAAAATTATTTGTTATTACAATTTAACAACTCTATTCAAATCACAGCAATAGTATGTACAGTATTCATAACCTTGTTCAAGAAGTAACTTTATAACTGCACAAAAAAGTAAACTGGTTTTTTGATTGGGGGGGGGGGCATTTCATCTAATTGCATGGAAATTAATAAACAAAAGTTGCAAGGTATGCTGATGGTATTACAGAATTTATACTAATAGCTTATAGTTCTAACTGCACCTTCAATATTCACAAATTTTATAATAAGCAGAAACAAAGCACCAAAATTATTACCATCATAGGAGCAATTGTATCTGTATCCCTCTAACAATGAGTACTTGGAGGGGGACATCTAAGAGCTCCAGTCTCTAACATTTCATATACTGTATTTATTTATTTATGTATTAAATGTTATATATTTTTATCTTTTATAGATTTTGAATCATTGGTACCTTCACCATGAAAGACATTTCCCATTTTTGATCAAATATTCTTGCACCTCTCATTGGATGATTTATCTGATTAAAATTATGAGAAATCAAAGTAATCGATTTCTTCTTCCTCTGGACTGGATTTTATGGCTGGAATAGAACTAGCAGATTTAACTGCACTGGAAGTTAACTGTGAGTGAGAACACTTCACTGGCAAAATATCCATGGCTCTGTAACAGAAAATGGGTAAATGGGGTATGGTAACAGATCTTTGACAACAAAAATAATGACATGGCAACTCTATGAAACCTGTAGTTAGCTTTAGTTTGATGGTGATAACATATCACTCGAGCTAGGGACGCAACATTTTGGATCAATATAAATATGAAATTTAACTTTGTCAGTCCATAATTACAAACATGGTGGTGTAAATCTTTAAGGTTATATCTGACACATTTAACAGATTCAAAATTTGGGGAGTAGTAAATCCTCCCCAAAATGATGACAATTTATACCTGCAAGTAATTAAAAAAGCGTTGCTTGACTAGGATTTAATCATATCACCATCTGCACACAATTCCAGGATACTAAGCAATGAGGTAAATTGTACTGCACTGCTAGACTTTAATTTTACATTATCTAAATATTATATTAACAACACAGAATTTGCAGCAGTAGGCGAAATCAGGCTTTAATAATTTTGCTCACTACCTCTTGTATAGAAATATGAACTGGAATGGAAGAAGGGAGGAAAACAGAAATATGGTGCTGACCTTCCTGCCAAGCATCATGAAACTCTGACAATTTGTTTAAAAGTTATTCTGGGGAACACAAACAGTATGCAGTATCACATGCAGCTCCTCTCTTCAGGTAGAATGTACTGAAACAGCTACAAATTAACATTTCCAGTGAACACCCAATAAATACAGTAAAACTTGGTTATAGCAACATCGGTTTCTGCGACACCTTGTCTATTGCGTCAAATATTCAATGGTACGAACTAATTCCTCATAAAGCAACTGTTTTTATACCTTGCTTAGTACGACATGCACAAATGCATCAACCTCGTATGTAACGTCATTTTCATTCCTGAATTTCTCTGATATGGTGGGAAAGTTCGATGTGTCTGCCCACCCTCACTTTCTCTACTTGCTGACGTGACTGTCCTGGAAGAATACGACCGCGGGCTGCAAGAGGAGCGTGGGTTTTATGCGAAAACAAGGGTGTGGGGTGGGACTGCGTGAATAGTGCAAGAGGACGCGGCAGGTTGTTAACTGCATTCCTTTCCTAGAATCTCGTCTAACAGGACCTCACATTGTCTACTTACCCTATAGTGTTCCTGCCTAAACCCAGAGAAGTGCAGTAGCGAAAACATGGCAATGAAAAGGAAAGTTTTAAGCATTGAAGAGAAAGTTAAAGTGATTCGTGAAATATTGTGTGTATTGTCAGTGAAAAGCGCTGTAATATGTCTTTGATATTACACATTTGGGCAATTCCACGTTAATGTTACGTTAGTCTGTACTTAACTATGTATTTCACTAAAAAATGCAACATTTTAACTCGGTTTTTGGTAGATTTTTACGTCACTAACATAAGGCTACTGTGGAAGTGCCCATTTCGGTTACAACGACATTCGTTTATAACGACACTATTTTTAGGTCCCTTTGATGACATTATAACCAAGTTCTACTGTATATCAGAATCAAAATAAAGTATATCACTCTGGTCAATTATGTAACAAATACAACAAGCAAAAAGCAGTATAACTATATGTATAATATAAACTCCATCGTAAATGCAACACTTCATTATAGTTCTTGTCCCCCTTCTTTCACACTATATAATATAGTAAACAGTACAACTATTTTTACATTAAATTCTAACTACATTATTTACAAAGCCTCATAATGAATGCATGTGGTATCTACAGTTAACCAAACTGCTCTGCAGCACATACCTCTGTGATGGTGAATGGGCTTTGCTTATGACAGGTTTAGGAATTTTCCTTTGGCCATTTTCCCTTTGTATCACCTCTAACAGACTCATGCTTGGTAACCAGGCCTAAGACAAAAAAAATACCCAGATATAATCATCCAGTTCATTTTATCTTTTAAGATAATTAATATTCTCATTGTTACCCTTGTGATTACCTTGTCTCTAGCAGCTGTAGCTACTACATTGCGCTTTGGCTCCTGATCATAAGCAACTGATTCACAGCCAAAATGTTCACAATACTCATGAACAAAGTGCCTCTTGTCTCTCTTCATTGAATCAAATGAATAGCTACGGCTCTTCTGCTTTGACTGTAACAAGCATGGAAATGAGTCAGATAAAACAAAACATGGACAGTCAGCCTGTATACACACATCATGTTGAAAGTCACTATGTAACAGCATCTTAAAATATCCGATCATTACTTCCCTCTACATCCTTACCAATCCACCCTCTCAATCAGCACTATATAACACATTCACTTCAGGGGAGCCCCAAACTCAGAAACTTAAAGAGACAACTCAGTTTTGGGGCACAGTCCGTTAACATACTGTACATTCAAGAAGTATGCTGTTACAGTTTCTGCTTCTGAAAACAATTTTCACAATCTCACATAAAACCCTTCCACATCACACCCAGTCTTTTGCAGAACAAATTACTGGAAACCTATTGACTTCTTATGAAACTACCCTGCATCACACCAAGTAGTATGTTTCTTTACTGATTCATTTGTTTCGAATTGCAGTCAGAAACCACCACTCCTGATGAAGATCTCTCTAGTGTTCTTTTGCTAGTGGGGTGGGACTAAGTCCCTTGTACTGCGGCCACTTCTGGCATACTGTACCAGTCCCAGATGTTAGGTGAGGGTGATTGTGGAGCAATTGGTGGAATGAAGATTGGCAGGGGAAACCGAAGTACTCTGAGAAAACCTGCCCCAGCGTCACTTTGTCCACCACAAATCCCACTTGACCAGACCCGGGATCGAACCCGGGCCACTGTAGTGGGAAGCCAGCGACTAACTGCTTGAGCTATGGTGCAGCCTTCTCAAGTGGTTTGCTCATCCTTCTTTGTATATGCCAGTATAATACCCTGACTCCATTTTGCCTCCATTAATTCAAAATATTTAATCATCCTTTCATCATTATCATTTAAACTTCTGCAGATGATGAAGTACTGTTAAGAGTAACCAAATAAACAAAGAAACATATATCCTCCACTCAACAGAGATGGTGCACCCTTGTGTCTATAAAATTCCCACTTTATAGAAAGGAATTTATTTTAAATTCTATGCTTGATGCATTTGCCAGATTTAACAGCATTTCAAGTTTTCTTCATGTCCATCATTCATGTCATATGTTAATCTGTGTTGGATACTCAGCAAAATGATTGGCTATGGGATGGGGGATTCCCAAAACAGCCATAATTTCTTTTATTGCTGCTTTAATTTTTAAATAAATTTAAAATTCTTATTATTTATTACTATAGTGCCTCAAGATAAGAAGGTATGTAACTACTGGACCCCATATGCATGAAATCATATATAGTGGAACCTCGCTTAACGAGCATAATTTGTTCCAGAATCTTACTCGTAAAGCGAAACAATTTTTCCCATATAAATTAATGTAAAATACGATAATGCATTCCATGTCGAAAAAAATTCTCAAAAAATTTTATGTATAATATTTATTCAAAGCAATTATATATACACTGTTAAGGAGCGTGAATCATCTTCATCTTTTCTTCTATGTGGAATGAACCAACCTGGAATGTGAATTCAATTTGCAGAAAACAAAGAAAAAGTCCATATGAGGAGCAACTTTTCAACATCGTCTAGAATACGTAACCGTTGTGTAGATATTCTTGTCACTCCCTCTGAAGCATCTATCTCCTTAATCTTGTCCTTGTTCTTGAGGATAGTGCAAATCTTTGATGTAGACCGATTGTATGCGTGCTAGTTCAGCCACGCTACACCTCGTTCTCGCTTTTCAATGATTTTACGTTTCATTTCTACAGTTATTTTTATTCTCTTATGTCTGTCTTTTGCGGCTTTTTCTTCGGGAACATTTTTGCAAGGGTTATTAAACTTTGCACAAAAAAAAAAACAAATAATATGTTTGAACACAAGTTTGGAAAAATGTGTGATCACAAGCAACACTAAGATGCTGGCAGAACGAGCGCTAAACACAGACTGATGTAGCAAGCGCACAATCTGGGACTTCCCCTCTTGTCACTCATTATGCGAAACATCACTTGTTAAGCAAGTCATTTTTTAACAATTTGTTTTGCTCGTTATGCGAATTACTCATTATGAGAGGTGCTTGTTACGCGAAGTTCCATTGTATCTCCTTAGCAAGAGAACAGCAGGAGAAATAGACTGGTTTATGCATTGCAACATATATGGTCTCCTACAGCAATCTTCACACAAACATGACAAAACAAAAAAATGGGAGACATATTTCAATCACAGACAAATGAATTAATACCTGTTTAGCAAGCTGTACCAACTCTGTAAGTTTATCATGGACCATGCTACAGAAATGGGGATCTTTCTTAGCCCACTGACGCATGAATTCAGAGTAGCGAGGTGTGAGTTTAGCACTCAAGTCAGGATTACGGATTTGTAGTCCAATAGCAAGCCGACGATTCCGCTCAATTACACGGCATTCCTCAGTGCAGTCCAATCTGAAATAAAATTTACAAATACAATATGGTGATGGCACAGAATTTTCACCACAAAATTAGCTGACAATCTTTCATACTAGGCCTACACTGTGCAGCTAACATTCACAATAAAGAATAAAACTGTACATCATTAAACAGAGGATTCTGATGGGGCAATGTGAATGCAGTCTATAATTGTGATTTTAACCAGGGAAGTAACCATATACTGAACAATCCAATATTAACTTTCCAGGTCACTTGAATGGAACAACTGTTCATTCACTATTGTTTCTCTAAGATTATCTCCACATAAATATATACAAAGATATCAAATACAGCATGTCAGACAGACATAACAGAACTAGATCGAATATGCAGAACTTTACACTTATGTGAAGAAATCCTACAAAAGGCTTGACCAAACTATATTCTGATATTCACCAAAAAAACTGAAGTTTATAATTCTGTAACAGTAGTTTCTTCTTTTATTCTGAAGGGGTTTACAAGTATGGCACTGTAACTACTGAGGAGAGGGACAATGCAGATTAATCAATCACTACCATCTACAGGTCTCTCATTTATTCAGAAAATTATAATCTTCATTACTCAAAATATAACATTATACAACTATGGTTGCAAGATACAGTGACTTCATAATCCAACTAATTAGTACTTCTCCATTACTTACTTACTTACTCGCGGAGCTGAGCCCTTCTGGACGAGCCACCAATTCAGCAGCTACTCAAGAATTTCCCAGCATTTTATGGAACCCAAAGGTTCATTACCATGTTCACAAGAGCCCTCCACTGGTCCCTATCCTCAGCCAGATATATCCAATCCATACCATCCCATCCTCTCTCTCTAAGATCCATTCTAATATTGTCCACCCACCTATGACTTGGTCTTCCCTGTGGTCTCTTTCCTTCTGGCTTTTCCACCAATATCCTATATGCATTCCTCATCTCCCCCATTCGTGCTACATGACCTGCACACCTCATCCTCCTTGACTAGATAATTTTAATTATACTTGGAGAAGAGTACAAGTTATGAAGCTCCTCATTATGCAGTTTTCTCCAACCTCCTGTCACTTCACCTCTCTTCGGTCCAAATATTCTCCTCAACACCCTCAGTCTATGTTCCTCCCTTAATGTCAGAGACCAAGTTTCACACCCATACAGAACCACGGGCAAAATTATAGTTTTGTATATTCTAATTTTTATGTTTTTGGACAGCAGATGAAAAGACAAAAGGTTCTGGACTGAATGGTAGCAAGCATTACCTCAGTTCAATCTCCTCTCAATTTCCTCCTGAATCAGGTTTCAATCTATTATCGTTGTTCCCAAATATCTGAACTGTGCCACATTTTCAAAACATCTGTTTCCTATCTATATGTCATGATTTTGCCCTGCATTTTGGTGACGAGACAGTAACATATACTTAGTTTTCTCTGTGTTTACTTCTAGACCAACCTCTTTACTTGCATCAATTAAAGTTTAGTACTTCTCCATTAATCACTACTTAATTAATTAATACTTCTCCATTAATAATTAATATTGCTGCATAAAATCAGACAAGTATTAATGGGGTCCATGCAGAGGCCAGTGCTTCAACTCCCAACCATAGAGCACAGAGTAAAGCATCTGTTCGGGGGAAACACTGAGACACATTACTTGGAAATCATAGTTTGCTTATCTCAAATAAATCTAAAAGCTCCACACCATTATCAACTGCAGTATCTGGTACTGCAATATGTCCCTTCAAGAGCCTGGAAACAGAATTTGGCCCATGGACCAGTCATTCTACAGCTTTCAGCAGTTTCCTCAGGTCCTACAGGTAAATGCCATAACAGTGCCTTAAGTGTGTGATGATGGTATATTAATACAATTACTGTGCCTCTGGACATTATCTATTGTCCCCTGTTCTCTGTTTAAAATGTACCTATCATCCCGTTTTCTATTTAAAACGTTTTGGAGACTGGATTCTGTCTCCTTCCTCAAGTAAAAACCTACTCAGTTAGGCCCAATTGATAGTAATAGTCTAGCTAGTTTAGCTCTATTGATTGGGCCCAATAGGATTTTACTAGAGGAAGGAGACAGAATCCAGTCTCCAAAACGTTTTAAATAGAAAACAGGATGATGGAGAATTTCCAAAGATACAATAACTGTATCTTAAATAAAGCTGGAATATACGTGACAAAACAAAACTGCAGATATTGGGCAACATTATTATGATTATATGAAGCCTCTACATTCAATCTCGTCCCATATGGAGACAAATAATACCAAAATTAATATTCTGTTACTATGTTTACATGTGTCTCCCATGCATAAGTTTATTCCAAACAAACTAAAGGTTCACACACACAGTCTTAAAACTGCAAGAAAACGGTGCTTATACTGAACACAAACTTACGTCTTCAGGCTCATCTTTCTAGTTGAAGGGTTCCCCAGAATGTCTGTAATGTCAACAGAATGACCAAGCTGCATATCAGCCATTTTGGAAGCAAGGAGTGAGGTTGCAATACGCTGGTACTCTTTTGTGTTGTCTGAGCATGCTCGACTCATTGAACGATGTCTGCACTCACATGTTACCTTCACCTGTAAATTGTAATATATAAAACCGGAATGCTTCTAAAATGTTGGGAGGATATGATGGGGCAAAGAAAACTGTATGCATTCTAGATCTGGAAATATGGGAAGAAAACTATTATGCAACAATCTATGTAATATGGAGCAAAAGCACAGCAATCACCATAATTTCATGGAGCGAAGTCCTTCTTTAAAAGCTATGTCGCTCAGATAGTGTAGACATTCCCTGCATGTTACAGAATAAAATATTTAATAATGTCTTCACAAGAGCACACTGATCCTTATCCTCAGGCATGAATCTAGCCCATGTCATCTGAGCATTTCTCAAGGATCCATTTTAATAATACCCTTCCATGTATATCTAGTCTCCCAAATGTTTCTTCTCTTCAAGCTTTCCAGTTAATACTGTGGCATATAGACCCACTGCTAGGCAACGGTTGCAAAATAAACGATACAATGGCCAATGCTAGGCAACAGCTTTGTAAATATGAAACAGTACTGGAACTGTTGCTAGGCAGCAGCCTGTGTGCAATGATGGAAGTACTGTTGGAAGCAGTGTTTTCTATGGGTCACTCTCAGGCTATATCACTTGACCATGTTGAAACAGGCATCGCCAAGGGGAGGCAGCGTCGAATACCTCCACTGTGACCCTGTGAGTCGTAGGAGATGACGAAAAGGGAACTCTCAAATCTGAGACAGTAAAATATGGTTGCAAGTCCCAAGGGACTCAGACCTGAGAAAGACTATGCTGGCAAAGGTCAGCAGCATGTACAAATGACAGACCCATCCTCCTGTCAGAGACGGTGCCCCACAAAGAAAAAGACCTTAACTGTCAAACAGTAATAAATATGTTCAACACCAAGGCTTACTGACTGACTGACTGACCGTCAGTCACAATGTGACTTTGACTTTGGACAGGCAGTGAATGCAGTGCGGCTGGCCATGCCATAGCTCAAGCAGTTAGTCGCTGACTTAGCAGCCTCCGTAGTCTAGGGGTAACATTCCCACCTCATGACTCAAGGTACGCGGGTTCAAACCCGGTGGAGGTCGTGGAATTTTTAAGGGCGGAAAAATTCAGGGAACAAGTCCTCCGGGAGGGACTTTAAGCCGTGGGTCCCATGTCGTAGATTTACAGCACGTAAAAGATCCTCATGTCTCTAGGAGACCTCTGAGCAAAATTAGGCAAGTTTCCAATGCCTCTGGTATATGGGGGAAGTATCGAGGTACTGAGGGCCGACCTCGTTGGCTGAACGGGGCTGATAGCATGCACCTTTACCAGTAGGGTATGGCAACAGTATAAATTAAAGGGGGGCACATAATGGACCAATAACTGGTCTAAGTGCATGGGGAAACCCACCCCTCTAATAAAATAATAATAATAATAATAATAATAATAATAATAGTCACTGGCTTCCCACCACAGCAGCCCGGGTCTGGTCAAGTTGGATTTGTGGTGGACAAAGTGGCGCTGGGGCAGGTTTTCTCCGAGTACTTCGGTTTCCCCAGCCAATCTTCATTCCACCAACTGCTCCACAATCACCCTCATATATTATCTGGGGCTGGTACAATAGGCCAGAAGTGGCTGCAGTACAAGGGACTTAGTTCCACCCCACTAGCAATAAAAAAAATAGTGCAGTGCAGTGAGCTAGTGAGCTAGAGTGAAGTAAGTTGGTCGGTGAGTGCCTTAGTTAGTTGAGACTTCAGCAGTTTGAAGCCAGTTAGTTGAGCTCGGGAGCAACAGTGCCAGCCAGCGAGGACCTAAAGCTGTGAACACGGAAGTTGAGGAATCTACAGCACTGGAAGCCATTATGACACAAAGACTGAGAAGAAACAGTACATGCTGTAGTGACCTACTGAGTGTGTGAGTTAGCAATAGCACTATGCTTACTTGTAGTTACGACCTATGTACGAGGGGGCACCCAAAAGAAACCGAACTTATTTTTTTTAAACTTATTTATTCAAATTTTAAGCATAAACCTTCAATCCCCTTCAAAGTACTCTCCACTTACACTAATACACTTGTCTAGTCTTTAATTCCATTTTTCAAAACATTGTCTAAATTCATCTTTTGAGACGCTTGACAGCGCCTCCGTCGTTTTTTCCTTTCATGTCTCTTTTCATTCGAGGAAACAAAAAAAAGTTGCATGGGGCAAGGTCGGGTGAGGAACAGGGGTCATACCATTTTTGGTCAAGAACTGTCATACAGACAGGGCTGTGTGAGCAGGGGCATTGTCATGATGGAAAAACCAGTCACCCGACTGCCACAAATCTGGCCGCTGAGCTCGAAGTCACTCCCGACAGCTCCACAATTTCTTCAATGGTCCGTCATCGATCTTCCTTGATGATATCACGAATTTTTTCAACATTTTCATGTCTTCGGGCCATAGAAGGACGACCAGAACGAGGTTTGTCATCAATTGACATTTCACCATTTTTGAAACGGGAAAACCTCTCAAACATTTGAGTTTTCCCCATAGCATTGTCCTTGTACGCTGTTTTAAACATTTCAAGAGTTTCTGTTCCACTTTTCCCGAGCAAAAAGCAGAATTTCACCGCCGCACGCTGTTCACGAAAATCAGCCATTGCAAAAACGATGATCACACGAAACAGTTGTCACTATAAACTCTGCCGAAACTAGTACTTACCTTCTGAAGCAACGGTAGTTGGCTTATCGACTCAGGAATGTTAGCTCTATGCGCTCATAGCAGCAAAACGCGGTACTACAAAAGCTCTGTCCACAAAAAAATTAGTTCGGTTTCTTTTGGGTACCCCATCGTATTTAATAAATCCAATTACCAATCCAAACCCTGTCTTAAGTCATTCTATCATGTGACAATACTTCGTATGCATTTCTTATCTCCCTCATAATTTCATCAACTTAACCATATCTGGTAATGGATGCTAATTAACAACAACAACAACAACAACAACAATTCTCCTCCTCCTCAAGAAGCCACAATTTCATCAATCAATATTAAATTAAATTTTCTGACTTGGTATTTATGCCAGCGTTAACTCTGATGTCACGTAACATTTAAAATTCCATATTCTACAGAAATGTTAAGAGCCATGATAAACTGCATACTCATATTTTTGATAGAGAAAACACCACTTTTGAAGCTATAGCTTTCCTTGAAAGAAATGACAAAAACCTTGAAAATAATGTTAAAATTGGCCATCAACAGTAATGGAATAAAAACTTTTAGATAAGCATGAATGATAATCATTAAACAACACTAATTTGAAACTACGTAAGTTAATTAAAAGCATTAAAATTATAAAATTTTACATATTAGTCGAATATATACAACAGGAAATTAACACTTTTATTCTTTGAAAATAGTCTTAATAAGAAACAATGTTAAAGTCTATAGCAATAAACTGCAATTCTAAAACACTGTGAGCAAAACTAGAAAATGTCTTCAGCTTTGACAACTTTCTTGACATGTTGTAATTTCTGTGATCAAACATCACACTTACCATTTCCTTACACAGTGTATCTGGGCATGGCCCATCATGACAAGGAGCTGCACAGTTATGACCACAGAGGCTTCGTGGTGTAGTGCATGGCTGTGTGCAAGTTTGGCCCTCCTTAAGGCATGGTCCCTTGTGGCAAGGTAAAATACAACGATGACGTCCACAAGGCAAATTCACATTACATGGAAGACCACATGAAAGCTCTGTCTGATAACATGGTACACTTTTTCGCAACTGTGAAATCAGAAATAACAACTGTAGTAACGTACCCATTACTGGAAAACGACTATGTATGATATTGCTTAAGTGATGGGTACTGCATATTTTTCAAGTTTTATCAATTTAAATTCCGGTGATGATGATACCTGGAATAGCTCCAAGAGGAGTAAATCATACATGAAATAGCTCAATCATTTAAGTGACTGGATACAGAGGGTGTGAGATAAAGACTTGTAGTTTAACACTGAATAGGGATGGAGACCCCCTTAAAAATAACAAATACAACCCAACTTCCAAAGGCAGAAATTGGTTACACCTGAGTTTCACCTCAGTGTATGCCACAAGGCCCAAGATATATTCTTCCAAAAACTTAACTCTCATAAGCCCATATAACTAAATTTTGTCAATGTTAATGAAACAGACTGCAGCAAGGATAGCCCAGATGGTATATAGATTATGCAACAGGTTAGACAACTGAGGAATTGCGGTTCAATTCCTGTACTGACCAAGATATGTCTCTTCTCCCTAGTGTCCAAACTGATTCTGGGCCCCACCCAGCCTCCTATGCTATTTGTAACAAGGGCTATTTTCTTAGGGGTAAAGTGGTTGGGGTGTCAAGCTCTTCCAATTAGCACCAAGGTTCAGAATGCATGTAGTTATATATCCAGCCATCATATTGTAACATGTTGCGCGACTGAGAACCCCCCTCCTCTCCACGGTAACGTAGCGCTCCCCGCCACTCCCCTCCGCGGTGACGTCACGCGGTGACGTAACGCGCAACGCTAACGTAACCGTAATCAACGTCCTACTGTGACGTGGCACTCATTACGCCACAGGCAAGCACTGCAGCTATATAAGTGGATGCACAGTGCGTATCGATCAGTTCGAGTTCCAGTGTGGCTACCGCCGAAGACATTCCGAGTTATAAAGTAACAGCCAGCCGACTACAAGTTGGAGTATAGCAGCCGTC